AAACAAACATGCAACAAGCTGCTTCAATTCAAAATCATCATAATTATTATTAAAATTAAAACAAGAACTACCTCACCTACACTTTAAAATTTTTTCGGCCACTTTTAATATAAGATAAATGTAGAAACAAAGCATTTGGAATTAACCACTAAAAATGCATTTTTTGAGAGCATTCTTCTACTTAACACTTGAAAATAACTGAAAAAGTTAGGATATTTTTGTTGACTTGTCGCTTTTTCTCTTTCTTTCTCTTTCATTTTTTATTCTCTCTCTCTCCCTCTCTCTCTCTCTTTTTTATCCCTCTTCTTGTCACCCTTTTTTACTCTTGTTTCTCTCTTTTTCTAGTTTTCTCCAAACTTTCTCTCACTTTTTCTCTTCCAGATTTTTCCTCTCTCTTTCTCTCTCTCTCTCTTATTCTCTATTCCTCTATCTTTTAATCTTGATCATTTTCATTCTTTTTTTCTTTCCTTCCCCCCTCTCTCTCTCTTGTCTCAGCATGCATGATATTAAAATGTAAAATGTAGGCAGTTGAGTGTTTGTCCAATTGTATTAATAATTTCATTTCAATAGTTATTTAATTATTCCTATTCAGAAGTTTTTTTTTCAGAGAAGAACTCGAGGAGTTGAACGTAAAATTTTGGCAAAAATTTTACGCCGTGTAGAAGGATGCTAATTTGATTTCGTGCTAATAGCGGCCGAGGTATTATCGACTGCGTGAGTATGTGTCTGCTGTTGTTTGCTCTTAACTTGAAGTTTGCTGGAAGTTATTTAGTCGAGTTCAATTTTGAAATTAATAATAAACGAATGAATGAATGAACAAACGAATAAACAAACGATCGAACGAAAAACGAACAAATGAATGAATAAATGAATAAACGAACCAACGGAAAAAAAAACAAACGAACGAACGAATGAATGATAGAAGGAATGAACAAACGAACGAGATCAACAAACCAAAATGAATAAATAAATGAACTAAAGAAGAAAAAAACTAGCAAACAAACAAATGAACAAACAGACTAATGTATGAATGAATGAATGAATGAAAAAATAATCAAGTAAAAAAATACTTAAGATTTTATGATTGTATGGTACAAAGTAGTACACTACACACAACACACACACAATACACACACAACACACACGTTCACACTCACATGCACATATACGCACACACAACACACATTCACACAAGCTACTCTTAACAAAATCAGAAGTGATGAATTCTTGTAAAAACTGCAGTAAAAGGTGTAGCTGAAATAAAAAAATTCAATATTTTATAACTAATTTATTCTTGCACATTTTAATTACGTAATTGTACGTTTGCGTCTGTGTGTATATGTATGTGTGTATGTATGTTTGTGTGTGTGTATGTGTGTATGTGTGTGTTTGTGTCCATGAAAAA